AGGTATTAGTGATTGAGGGGAGAGAGGGAGCATATTCGCAATGAAGAATTTAAAATACTATAATAGTCATTAAGAGAAAACTGTATCATTTACTATCAAAACAATTTTCCGATATATTCTGTTTGTTCCTGTGCACATTAATTCTTTAGGAGCATAGGGAGTGCAAACTGTGTATGGTTCTGAAACATATAAAGATCTTTAAAGCAATTTTGGAGTACTTTTTTTGTTTATTACTTTGTATTATTCTTGATTGACCTAATTATGTAATGATTTTGAAGTTAATACTTAAAATCTGAAACTACATAAATTACATTACATTTATTAATTCTAGTTTCTATTTATTATGCTGATAATGAAGAGGGACTTTGACTTATCTTACGCTTTACTTTGGCATGTACCTGTTCACCCTCAGAATTGATAGAGCTTTAATTAAAATCCATGCCAAGCACAAAGTTGTGGCTTTGACTAAATTTGTGTTTTAATTTGGCATGTATCGCATGTCTCTGGAAACATAGTCACTGTGGTGTTTCTCATTGCAAAAAAGACTAAAAGCATCTTTATATTTTTTAGTTACTCAACGCCATTCAACCACTATGAGTGAGTAACGTAATTTTCTTTCTGAATTATATTTTGACAAGTAGAGTCCCTGCGTCTGACCACTCAGAAGACCACTACTTTAAAACCATCAACAATACATACAGCTTTCATTGACACTTGCATTACAAAGACCTATAAACGAATGAAAAGAAAATAGGCACAAGAATCAGTGATGATCTGTTGCATTTCGAAAAACTGCGAGAAAAACAAATTTGAGATTTCTTTCTTAGAATAGACAGGAAATGCTTTTTTCCAGTTTAATTAAATATTACAGCATTAACTACTCAAATCTCATAAATTAATGCATAAACAAACAAAATATTTTTTGGAAGATAAACGGCCAGAAAATTTCTTACTTATACTAAATGTTACCCTCCAACTAAAATAGGCATGAAAAATTTAGCGACGAGGGTCCATGATGATCAAGCACGGTCTATTTGAGCAATAAATTTGCGATGAGAATAAAAACATTATCTGAGACCCTTGTTTATGTCGATTTAAATCAAATGACAAAGTTTCCTACATGTACTTCTTTGCAGAGTATATCATATAGTAAAGGAAACCAGAAAGCATAAGCATGCTTTAAAAAAAAAACTCAGTTTTCCCTTCGACTATCTACTGGACAAACACAATGCACATTATTTGAAAGATTGGTATTCAAACTTTGTTGATATACCTAACATAAATACACATACCTGAATGGCCCAGGCATAAGGCAGCCACAATTGTTGGACTTTTCACTCAGCATGACTGTTTAGCTGGACACTACTCTCTAAAACTGGTGTCTTTCTGAAATCTTAGTGGATTCTGTGGAATGACAATATTTCTTACAGCAAAGCTCTTCGTGGGCTACCTTGGTCGAGTGGTACTGGGAGGCAAGAAGGCGAATGATAAACTGAATTTTTTTTCTTATTTATTTATTACTCATTCTGTCAAGGTATTAGTGATTGAGGGGAGAGAGGGAGCATATTCGCAATGAAGAATTTAAAATACTATAATAGTCATTAAGAGAAAACTGTATCATTTACTATCAAAACAATTTTCCGATATATTCTGTTTGTTCCTGTGCACATTAATTCTTTAGGAGCATAGGGAGTGCAAACTGTGTATGGTTCTGAAACATATAAAGATCTTTAAAGCAATTTTGGAGTACTTTTTTTGTTTATTACTTTGTATTATTCTTGATTGACCTAATTATGTAATGATTTTGAAGTTAATACTTAAAATCTGAAACTACATAAATTACATTACATTTATTAATTCTAGTTTCTATTTATTATGCTGATAATGAAGAGGGACTTTGACTTATCTTACGCTTTACTTTGGCATGTACCTGTTCACCCTCAGAATTGATAGAGCTTTAATTAAAATCCATGCCAAGCACAAAGTTGTGGCTTTGACTAAATTTGTGTTTTAATTTGGCATGTATCGCATGTCTCTGGAAACATAGTCACTGTGGTGTTTCTCATTGCAAAAAAGACTAAAAGCATCTTTATATTTTTTAGTTACTCAACGCCATTCAACCACTATGAGTGAGTAACGTAATTTTCTTTCTGAATTATATTTTGACAAGTAGAGTCCCTGCGTCTGACCACTCAGAAGACCACTACTTTAAAACCATCAACAATACATACAGCTTTCATTGACACTTGCATTACAAAGACCTATAAACGAATGAAAAGAAAATAGGCACAAGAATCAGTGATGATCTGTTGCATTTCGAAAAACTGCGAGAAAAACAAATTTGAGATTTCTTTCTTAGAATAGACAGGAAATGCTTTTTTCCAGTTTAATTAAATATTACAGCATTAACTACTCAAATCTCATAAATTAATGCATAAACAAACAAAATATTATTTGGAAGATAAACGGCCAGAAAATTTCTTACTTATACTAAATGTTACCCTCCAACTAAAATAGGCATGAAAAATTTAGCGACGAGGGTCCATGATGATCAAGCACGGTCTATTTGAGCAATAAATTTGCGATGAGAATAAAAACATTATCTGAGACCCTTGTTTATGTCGATTTAAATCAAATGACAAAGTTTCCTACATGTACTTCTTTGCAGAGTATATCATATAGTAAAGGAAACCAGAAAGCATAAGCATGCTTTAAAAAAAAAACTCAGTTTTCCCTTCGACTATCTACTGGACAAACACAATGCACATTATTTGAAAGATTGGTATTCAAACTTTGTTGATATACCTAACATAAATACACATACCTGAATGGCCCAGGCATAAGGCAGCCACAATTGTTGGACTTTTCACTCAGCATGACTGTTTAGCTGGACACTACTCTAAAACTGGTGTCTTTCTGAAATCTTAGTGGATTCTGTGGAATGACAATATTTCTTACAGCAAAGCTCTTCGTGGGCTACCTTGGTCGAGTGGTACTGGGAGGCAAGAAGGCGAATGATAAACTGAATTTTTTTTCTTATTTATTTATTACTCATTCTGTCAAGGTATTAGTGATTGAGGGGAGAGAGGGAGCATATTCGCAATGAAGAATTTAAAATACTATAATAGTCATTAAGAGAAAACTGTATCATTTACTATCAAAACAATTTTCCGATATATTCTGTTTGTTCCTGTGCACATTAATTCTTTAGGAGCATAGGGAGTGCAAACTGTGTGTATGGTTCTGAAACATATAAAGATCTTTAAAGCAATTTTGGAGTACTTTTTTTGTTTATTACTTTGTATTATTCTTGATTGACCTAATTATGTAATGATTTTGAAGTTAATACTTAAAATCTGAAACTACATAAATTACATTACATTTATTAATTCTAGTTTCTATTTATTATGCTGATAATGAAGAGGGACTTTGACTTATCTTACGCTTTACTTTGGCATGTACCTGTTCACCCTCAGAATTGATAGAGCTTTAATTAAAATCCATGCCAAGCACAAAGTTGTGGCTTTGACTAAATTTGTGTTTTAATTTGGCATGTATCGCATGTCTCTGGAAACATAGTCACTGTGGTGTTTCTCATTGCAAAAAAGACTAAAAGCATCTTTATATTTTTTAGTTACTCAACGCCATTCAACCACTATGAGTGAGTAACGTAATTTTCTTTCTGAATTATATTTTGACAAGTAGAGTCCCTGCGTCTGACCACTCAGAAGACCACTACTTTAAAACCATCAACAATACATACAGCTTTCATTGACACTTGCATTACAAAGACCTATAAACGAATGAAAAGAAAATAGGCACAAGAATCAGTGATGATCTGTTGCATTTCGAAAAACTGCGAGAAAAACAAATTTGAGATTTCTTTCTTAGAATAGACAGGAAATGCTTTTTTCCAGTTTAATTAAATATTACAGCATTAACTACTCAAATCTCATAAATTAATGCATAAACAAACAAAATATTATTTGGAAGATAAACGGCCAGAAAATTTCTTACTTATACTAAATGTTACCCTCCAACTAAAATAGGCATGAAAAATTTAGCGACGAGGGTCCATGATGATCAAGCACGGTCTATTTGAGCAATAAATTTGCGATGAGAATAAAAACATTATCTGAGACCCTTGTTTATGTCGATTTAAATCAAATGACAAAGTTTCCTACATGTACTTCTTTGCAGAGTATATCATATAGTAAAGGAAACCAGAAAGCATAAGCATGCTTTAAAAAAAAAAAACTCAGTTTTCCCTTCGACTATCTACTGGACAAACACAATGCACATTATTTGAAAGATTGGTATTCAAACTTTGTTGATATACCTAACATAAATACACATACCTGAATGGCCCAGGCATAAGGCAGCCACAATTGTTGGACTTTTCACTCAGCATGACTGTTTAGCTGGACACTACTCTAAAACTGGTGTCTTTCTGAAATCTTAGTGGATTCTGTGGAATGACAATATTTCTTACAGCAAAGCTCTTCGTGGGCTACCTTGGTCGAGTGGTGGTACTGGGAGGCAAGAAGGCGAATGATAAACTGAATTTTTTTTCTTATTTATTTATTACTCATTCTGTCAAGGTATTAGTGATTGAGGGGAGAGAGGGAGCATATTCGCAATGAAGAATTTAAAATACTATAATAGTCATTAAGAGAAAACTGTATCATTTACTATCAAAACAATTTTCCGATATATTCTGTTTGTTCCTGTGCACATTAATTCTTTAGGAGCATAGGGAGTGCAAACTGTGTATGGTTCTGAAACATATAAAGATCTTTAAAGCAATTTTGGAGTACTTTTTTTGTTTATTACTTTGTATTATTCTTGATTGACCTAATTATGTAATGATTTTGAAGTTAATACTTAAAATCTGAAACTACATAAATTACATTACATTTATTAATTCTAGTTTCTATTTATTATGCTGATAATGAAGAGGGACTTTGACTTATCTTACGCTTTACTTTGGCATGTACCTGTTCACCCTCAGAATTGATAGAGCTTTAATTAAAATCCATGCCAAGCACAAAGTTGTGGCTTTGACTAAATTTGTGTTTTAATTTGGCATGTATCGCATGTCTCTGGAAACATAGTCACTGTGGTGTTTCTCATTGCAAAAAAGACTAAAAGCATCTTTATATCCCTGCGTCTGACCACTACTTTAAAACCATCAACAATACATACAGCTTTCATTGACACTTGCATTACAAAGACCTATAAACGAATGAAAAGAAAATAGGCACAAGAATCAGTGATGATCTGTTGCATTTCGAAAAACTGCGAGAAAAACAAATTTGAGATTTCTTTCTTAGAATAGACAGGAAATGCTTTTTTCCAGTTTAATTAAATATTACAGCATTAACTACTCAAATCTCATAAATTAATGCATAAACAAACAAAATATTTTTTGGAAGATAAACGGCCAGAAAATTTCTTACTTATACTAAATGTTACCCTCCAACTAAAATAGGCATGAAAAATTTAGCGACGAGGGTCCATGATGATCAAGCACGGTCTATTTGAGCAATAAATTTGCGATGAGAATAAAAAAAACATTATCTGAGACCCTTGTTTATGTCGATTTAAATCAAATGACAAAGTTTCCTACATGTACTTCTTTGCAGAGTATATCATATAGTAAAGGAAACCAGAAAGCATAAGCATGCTTTAAAAAAAAAACTCAGTTTTCCCTTCGACTATCTACTGGACAAACACAATGCACATTATTTGAAAGATTGGCTATTCAAACTTTGTTGATATACCTAACATAAATACACATACCTGAATGGCCCAGGCATAAGGCAGCCACAATTGTTGGACTTTTCACTCAGCATGACTGTTTAGCTGGACACTACTCTAAAACTGGTGTCTTTCTGAAATCTTAGTGGATTCTGTGGAATGACAATATTTCTTACAGCAAAGCTCTTCGTGGGCTACCTTGGTCGAGTGGTACTGGGAGGCAAGAAGGCGAATGATAAACTGAATTTTTTTTCTTATTTATTTATTACTCATTCTGTCAAGGTATTAGTGATTGAGGGGAGAGAGGGAGCATATTCGCAATGAAGAATTTAAAATACTATAATAGTCATTAAGAGAAAACTGTATCATTTACTATCAAAACAATTTTCCGATATATTCTGTTTGTTCCTGTGCACATTAATTCTTTAGGAGCATAGGGAGTGCAAACTGTGTATGGTTCTGAAACATATAAAGATCTTTAAAGCAATTTTGGAGTACTTTTTTTGTTTATTACTTTGTATTATTCTTGATTGACCTAATTATGTAATGATTTTGAAGTTAATACTTAAAATCTGAAACTACATAAATTACATTACATTTATTAATTCTAGTTTCTATTTATTATGCTGATAATGAAGAGGGACTTTGACTTATCTTACGCTTTACTTTGGCATGTACCTGTTCACCCTCAGAATTGATAGAGCTTTAATTAAAATCCATGCCAAGCACAAAGTTGTGGCTTTGACTAAATTTGTGTTTTAATTTGGCATGTATCGCATGTCTCTGGAAACATAGTCACTGTGGTGTTTCTCATTGCAAAAAAGACTAAAAGCATCTTTATGAGTGAGTAACATTTTCTTTCTGATATTTTAGAGTCCCTGCGTCTGACCACTACTTTAAAACCATCAACAATACATACAGCTTTCATTGACACTTGCATTACAAAGACCTATAAACGAATGAAAAGAAAATAGGCACAAGAATCAGTGATGATCTGTTGCATTTCGAAAAACTGCGAGAAAAACAAATTTGAGATTTCTTTCTTAGAATAGACAGGAAATGCTTTTTTCCAGTTTAATTAAATATTACAGCATTAACTACTCAAATCTCATAAATTAATGCATAAACAAACAAAATATTTTTTGGAAGATAAACGGCCAGAAAATTTCTTACTTATACTAAATGTTACCCTCCAACTAAAATAGGCATGAAAAATTTAGCGACGAGGGTCCATGATGATCAAGCACGGTCTATTTGAGCAATAAATTTGCGATGAGAATAAAAACATTATCTGAGACCCTTGTTTATGTCGATTTAAATCAAATGACAAAGTTTCCTACATGTACTTCTTTGCAGAGTATATCATATAGTAAAGGAAACCAGAAAGCATAAGCATGCTTTAAAAAAAAAACTCAGTTTTCCCTTCGACTATCTACTGGACAAACACAATGCACATTATTTGAAAGATTGGTATTCAAACTTTGTTGATATACCTAACATTAAATAACACATACCTGAATGGCCCAGGCATAAGGCAGCCACAATTGTTGGACTTTTCACTCAGCATAACTGTTTAGCTGGACACACTACTCTAAAACTGGTGTCTTTCTGAAATCTTAGTGGATTCTGTGGAATGACAATATTTCTTACAGCAAAGCTCTTCGTGGGCTACCTTGGTCGAGTGGTACTGGGAGGCAAGAAGGCGAATGATAAACTGAATTTTTTTTCTTATTTATTTATTACTCATTCTGTCAAGGTATTAGTGATTGAGGGGAGAGAGGGAGCATATTCGCAATGAAGAATTTAAAATACTATAATAGTCATTAAGAGAAAACTGTATCATTTACTATCAAAACAATTTTCCGATATATTCTGTTTGTTCCTGTGCACATTAATTCTTTAGGAGCATAGGGAGTGCAAACTGTGTATGTTTCTGAAACATATAAAGATCTTTAAAGCAATTTTGGAGTACTTTTTTGTTTATTACTTTGTATTATTCTTGATTGACCTAATTATGTAATGATTTTGAAGTTAATACTTAAAATCTGAAACTACATAAATTACATTACATTTATTAATTCTAGTTTCTATTTATTATGCTGATAATGAAGAGGGACTTTGACTTATCTTACGCTTTACTTTGGCATGTACCTGTTCACCCTCAGAATTGATAGAGCTTTAATTAAAATCCATGCCAAGCACAAAGTTGTGGCTTTGACTAAATTTGTGTTTTAATTTGGCATGTATCGCATGTCTCTGGAAACATAGTCACTGTGGTGTTTCTCATTGCAAAAAAGACTAAAAGCATCTTTATATTTTTTAGTTACTCAACGCCATTCAACCACTATGAGTGAGTAACGTAATTTTCTTTCTGAATTATATTTTGACAAGTAGAGTCCCTGCGTCTGACCACTCAGAAGACCACTACTTTAAAACCATCAACAATACATACACATTGACACTTCATTGACACTGACATTACAAAGATATATAAACGAATGAAAAGAAAATAGGCACAAGAATCAGTGATGATCTGTTGCATTTCGAAAAACTGCGAGAAAAACAAATTTGAGATTTCTTTCTTAGAATAGACAGGAAATGCTTTTTTCCAGTTTAATTAAATATTACAGCATTAACTACTCAAATCTCATAAATTAATGCATAAACAAACAAAATATTATTTGGAAGATAAACGGCCAGAAAATTTCTTACTTATACTAAATGTTACCCTCCAACTAAAATAGGCATGAAAAATTTAGCGACGAGGGTCCATGATGATCAAGCACGGTCTATTTGAGCAATAAATTTGCGATGAGAATAAAAACATTATCTGAGACCCTTGTTTATGTCGATTTAAATCAAATGACAAAGTTTCCTACATGTACTTCTTTGCAGAGTATATCATATAGTAAAGGAAACCAGAAAGCATAAGCATGCTTTAAAAAAAAAACTCAGTTTTCCCTTCGACTATCTACTGGACAAACACAATGCACATTATTTGAAAGATTGGTATTCAAACTTTGTTGATATACCTAACATAAATACACATACCTGAATGGCCCAGGCATAAGGCAGCCACAATTGTTGGACTTTTCACTCAGCATGACTGTTTAGCTGGACACTACTCTAAAACTGGTGTCTTTCTGAAATCTTAGTGGATTCTGTGGAATGACAATATTTCTTACAGCAAAGCTCTTCGTGGGCTACCTTGGTCGAGTGGTACTGGGAGGCAAGAAGGCGAATGATAAACTGAATTTTTTTTCTTATTTATTTATTACTCATTCTGTCAAGGTATTAGTGATTGAGGGGAGAGAGGGAGCATATTCGCAATGAAGAATTTAAAATACTATAATAGTCATTAAGAGAAAACTGTATCATTTACTATCAAAACAATTTTCCGATATATTCTGTTTGTTCCTGTGCACATTAATTCTTTAGGAGCATAGGGAGTGCAAACTGTGTATGGTTCTGAAACATATAAAGATCTTTAAAGCAATTTTGGAGTACTTTTTTTGTTTATTAACTTTGTATTATTCTTGATTGACCTAATTATGTAATGATTTTGAAGTTAATACTTAAAATCTGAAACTACATAAATTACATTACATTTATTAATTCTAGTTTCTATTTATTATGCTGATAATGAAGAGGGACTTTGACTTATCTTACGCTTTACTTTGGCATGTACCTGTTCACCCTCAGAATTGATAGAGCTTTAATTAAAATCCATGCCAAGCACAAAGTTGTGGCTTTGACTAAATTTGTGTTTTAATTTGGCATGTATCGCATGTCTCTGGAAACATAGTCACTGTGGTGTTTCTCATTGCAAAAAAGACTAAAAGCATCTTTATATCCCTGCGTCTGACCACTACTTTAAAACCATCAACAATACATACAGCTTTCATTGACACTTGCATTACAAAGACCTATAAACGAATGAAAAGAAAATAGGCACAAGAATCAGTGATGATCTGTTGCATTTCGAAAAACTGCGAGAAAAACAAATTTGAGATTTCTTTCTTAGAATAGACAGGAAATGCTTTTTTCCAGTTTAATTAAATATTACAGCATTAACTACTCAAATCTCATAAATTAATGCATAAACAAACAAAATATTATTTGGAAGATAAACGGCCAGAAAATTTCTTACTTATACTAAATGTTACCCTCCAACTAAAATAGGCATGAAAAATTTAGCGACGAGGGTCCATGATGATCAAGCACGGTCTATTTGAGCAATAAATTTGCGATGAGAATAAAAACATTATCTGAGACCCTTGTTTATGTCGATTTAAATCAAATGACAAAGTTTCCTACATGTACTTCTTTGCAGAGTATATCATATAGTAAAGGAAACCAGAAAGCATAAGCATGCTTTAAAAAAAAAAACTCAGTTTTCCCTTCGACTATCTACTGGACAAACACAATGCACATTATTTGAAAGATTGGTATTCAAACTTTGTTGATATACCTAACATTAAATACACATACCTGAATGGCCCAGGCATAAGGCAGCCACAATTGTTGGACTTTTCACTCAGCATGACTGTTTAGCTGGACACTACTCTAAAACTGGTGTCTTTCTGAAATCTTAGTGGATTCTGTGGAATGACAATATTTCTTACAGCAAAGCTCTTCGTGGGCTACCTTGGTCGAGTGGTACTGGGAGGCAAGAAGGCGAATGATAAACTGAATTTTTTTTCTTATTTATTTATTACTCATTCTGTCAAGGTATTAGTGATTGAGGGGAGAGAGGGAGCATATTCGCAATGAAGAATTTAAAATACTATAATAGTCATTAAGAGAAAACTGTATCATTTACTATCAAAACAATTTTCCGATATATTCTGTTTGTTCCTGTGCACATTAATTCTTTAGGAGCATAGGGAGTGCAAACTGTGTATGGTTCTGAAACATATAAAGATCTTTAAAGCAATTTTGGAGTACTTTTTTTTGTTTATTACTTTGTATTATTCTTGATTGACCTAATTATGTAATGATTTTGAAGTTAATACTTAAAATCTGAAACTACATAAATTACATTTATTAATTCTAGTTTCTATTTATTATGCTGATAATGAAGAGGGACTTTGACTTATCTTACGCTTTACTTTGGCATGTACCTGTTCACCCTCAGAATTGATAGAGCTTTAATTAAAATCCATGCCAAGCACAAAGTTGTGGCTTTGACTAAATTTGTGTTTTAATTTGGCATGTATCGCATGTCTCTGGAAACATAGTCACTGTGGTGTTTCTCATTGCAAAAAAGACTAAAAGCATCTTTATATTTTTTAGTTACTCAACGCCATTCAACCACTATGAGTGAGTAACGTAATTTTCTTTCTGAATTATATTTTGACAAGTAGAGTCCCTGCGTCTGACCACTCAGAAGACCACTACTTTAAAACCATCAACAATACATACAGCTTTCATTGACACTTGCATTACAAAGACCTATAAACGAATGAAAAGAAAATAGGCACAAGAATCAGTGATGATCTGTTGCATTTCGAAAAACTGCGAGAAAAACAAATTTGAGATTTCTTTCTTAGAATAGACAGGAAATGCTTTTTTCCAGTTTAATTAAATATTACAGCATTAACTACTCAAATCTCATAAATTAATGCATAAACAAACAAAATATTATTTGGAAGATAAACGGCCAGAAAATTTCTTACTTATACTAAATGTTACCCTCCAACTAAAATAGGCATGAAAAATTTAGCGACGAGGGTCCATGATGATCAAGCACGGTCTATTTGAGCAATAAATTTGCGATGAGAATAAAAAACATTATCTGAGACCCTTGTTTATGTCGATTTAAATCAAATGACAAAGTTTCCTACATGTACTTCTTTGCAGAGTATATCATATAGTAAAGGAAACCAGAAAGCATAAGCATGCTTTAAAAAAAAAACTCAGTTTTCCCTTCGACTATCTACTGGACAAACACAATGCACATTATTTGAAAGATTGGTATTCAAACTTTGTTGATATACCTAACATAAATACACATACCTGAATGGCCCAGGCATAAGGCAGCCACAATTGTTGGACTTTTCACTCAGCATGACTGTTTAGCTGGACACTACTCTAAAACTGGTGTCTTTCTGAAATCTTAGTGGATTCTGTGGAATGACAATATTTCTTACAGCAAAGCTCTTCGTGGGCTACCTTGGTCGAGTGGTACTGGGAGGCAAGAAGGCGAATGATAAACTGAATTTTTTTTTCTTATTTATTTATTACTCATTCTGTCAAGGTATTAGTGATTGAGGGGAGAGAGGGAGCATATTCGCAATGAAGAATTTAAAATACTATAATAGTCATTAAGAGAAAACTGTATCATTTACTATCAAAACAATTTTCCGATATATTCTGTTTGTTCCTGTGCACATTAATTCTTTAGGAGCATAGGGAGTGCAAACTGTGTATGGTTCTGAAACATATAAAGATCTTTAAAGCAATTTTGGAGTACTTTTTTTGTTTATTACTTTGTATTATTCTTGATTGACCTAATTATGTAATGATTTTGAAGTTAATACTTAAAATCTGAAACTACATAAATTACATTACATTTATTAATTCTAGTTTCTATTTATTATGCTGATAATGAAGAGGGACTTTGACTTATCTTACGCTTTACTTTGGCATGTACCTGTTCACCCTCAGAATTGATAGAGCTTTAATTAAAATCCATGCCAAGCACAAAGTTGTGGCTTTGACTAAATTTGTGTTTTAATTTGGCATGTATCGCATGTCTCTGGAAACATAGTCACTGTGGTGTTTCTCATTGCAAAAAAGACTAAAAGCATCTTTATATTTTTTAGTTACTCAACGCCATTCAACCACTATGAGTGAGTAACGTAATTTTCTTTCTGAATTATATTTTGACAAGTAGAGTCCCTGCGTCTGACCACTCAGAAGACCACTACTTTAAAACCATCAACAATACATACAGCTTTCATTGACACTTGCATTACAAAGACCTATAAACGAATGAAAAGAAAATAGGCACAAGAATCAGTGATGATCTGTTGCATTTCGAAAAACTGCGAGAAAAACAAATTTGAGATTTCTTTCTTAGAATAGACAGGAAATGCTTTTTTCCAGTTTAATTAAATATTACAGCATTAACTACTCAAATCTCATAAATTAATGCATAAACAAACAAAATATTATTTGGAAGATAAACGGCCAGAAAATTTCTTACTTATACTAAATGTTACCCTCCAACTAAAATAGGCATGAAAAATTTAGCGACGAGGGTCCATGATGATCAAGCACGGTCTATTTGAGCAATAAATTTGCGATGAGAATAAAAAACATTATCTGAGACCCTTGTTTATGTCGATTTAAATCAAATGACAAAGTTTCCTACATGTACTTCTTTGCAGAGTATATCATATAGTAAAGGAAACCAGAAAGCATAAGCATGCTTTAAAAAAAAAACTCAGTTTTCCCTTCGACTATCTACTGGACAAACACAATGCACATTATTTGAAAGATTGGTATTCAAACTTTGTTGATATACCTAACATTAAATACACATACCTGAATGGCCCAGGCATAAGGCAGCCACAATTGTTGGACTTTTCACTCAGCATGACTGTTTAGCTGGACACTACTCTAAAACTGGTGTCTTTCTGAAATCTTAGTGGATTCTGTGGAATGACAATATTTCTTACAGCAAAGCTCTTCGTGGGCTACCTTGGTCGAGTGGTACTGGGAGGCAAGAAGGCGAATGATAAACTGAATTTTTTTTCTTATTTATTTATTACTCATTCTGTCAAGGTATTAGTGATTGAGGGGAGAGAGGGAGCATATTCGCAATGAAGAATTTAAAATACTATAATAGTCATTAAGAGAAAACTGTATCATTTACTATCAAAACAATTTTCCGATATATTCTGTTTGTTCCTGTGCACATTAATTCTTTAGGAGCATAGGGAGTGCAAACTGTGTATGGTTCTGAAACATATAAAGATCTTTAAAGCAATTTTGGAGTATTTTTTTGTTTAT